CAAGATTATCTTGACAGTGGTCATCTTCTCCTCCAAGACGTGTGCTGTTAAGGAAATCTGCTGAGCAGCCAGCACCCAGCATAAGAACTCTTGAACTCATGAGGTAACTACTAAAGCTAGAGTTTTTCATTTCTCAGGATTGCTAGTGGCTGCCCCGTGCTCAGCGAATGAAACAGAAAGGCAGAAGAGAGCATCTAGGGGCTTAAGATCCAGTCTTAGACCCAGCTGGCTAGAGTGTATGTTCCTGCTTTTGTGTGTCTGTGCAGCAAGCTGCCATTGCCAAATATTGCTGGAAATCCAGGGGTGGAAAAGCATTATACAAAATACTTGGGAGTGAGGGGGAGGCATTTTAACAACCTTGATAGACCATAGAGAAGGGAGATTCCTCTAACAGAAGTAAATCCCCTCTGACACTCAGGCACTAATAATTATTTTTTTTTAACTTAAAAATGATTTTCATTTTCAATTCCAAATTCTCTTCCTCCCTTCTGCCCCTCTTCCACTCACTGAAAAGGCAAGAAATACAATACAATGAAGTTGTGCAAACATTATATAATGAAGTCGTGCAAAACATAGCCAATCATTTTCAACACAACTCTAGTCACTGAACTAATCAGTACTTCAGCAATTATCCCTGAAAGATACATGTCCCTAATTAAGAAGCCACTTCATATTTCCAGATCCATGAGATCTGCCTAGCAAATAAGGGGTTCCCCTCATCACACCCGCTGCACCTGATTATAGTTGTTCCAATACAACTTATTTGAACAAGGATCAACTTAGAATGGAAAAAGATAAAAGTAATGATATGAACTCTGTCACCATCTTTTTTTTTTTTTGCAATTAGAGTTAAGTGACTTGCCCAGGGTCACACAGCTAGTAAGTGTCAATTGTTTGGTCTGAGGCTGAATTTGAGCTCAGGCCTTCCTGACTTCAGGGTTGGTGCTCTATCCACTCCCCCACCTAGCTGCCCTCTGACACCATCTTTTAAAGAAGTTAAATAATACAACCCATTTGCCTCAAAAAGGTTGAAAGACTACAGAAACTATCTTATCCAGCTAACACTTCTGTTCTTGCCAACCAAAGACATGGAAACCAAGAATAATACTGGTTGAATGTATAAACTCATTTGAAAAATATTTTGGGGAAGGATAATGGCAGTTTATGAAAAGTATAATTTCACAAAATAAAAAAAAAAAGCAGACAAGTAGAAAACCAGATAGCTGAGAACTTGGAATGAGATTTAGCTGGATCAGAACATCCCAGAACCTTTGTTGTTTTTGAAACCTGAAGGACAACAAATGTTCATAAAATAGGACAGATCTGCAGACATTACTAAAGTCGTCTATTCTCACTGGTGATGATGGTGGGAGCACAATATTTTTCTTTCACTACTTTGGTACCCTATGTACTCTTTGAGAAAGTAACGATTTCACTTAAGAAGATGTTGGGAAGTGCAACCAAATTTAATCAATTTCATAAGAAAGAAATTTATGCTAGCGGTGACATGGTTTTAAAAGCTCTTAAGAATCAATTTTCAGTGTGTTTCAAAGAAGAGGAGATTCTAAAAGAAGGGAAAGTAAAAAGAATGCATCATTGCCCAGAAAAGAGTGAATGAGGGGATGTTAGCGGCTACCTATTCACATATCTGATTTCTCATCTCTATAAAACCTTTATGGGAATGCCTTAAGCAAGTATTGAAGATATCCTTAATGAAAACATGAGAAAAGAATAGGCAGGCATTTGCAGACAATTTTCTGTAGCAGACCACACATTCACAATCCTACAGCTTCCTTAAAAGGTAAAGAGAAAGATATTATTATGGCTATAGTTTGTTGAATTTCAAAAAAATCATTTGACTTGGCATAACAAAGTGTAGGCTTTTGGTTCTTCTCCAGAAAGGTTTGTCCCATGCTTACATTAAAATCAAGTAAGACTATAATGTATATGGCCACAATGGGATATATTTGTTCAGACATCTGCTGAGTTTCAACATCAAGTGAGTTATAAAACAAGGAGACATATGCATTCATCCAAGATATTTACCTGTGTCATGGCAAGTGCCGGGCATTGAGACTAAATAGGATCATTTTCAGTGACTGCAAACATTTTGCTGATGCCAGAGCCCATCTTTATAAGACTATCATTCTGGTGATGTTCTCTGGTTTTAAATCATGGAATGTCATGATTTTGGAAGAATCAAAGTTGTAGCCAACTTGAAGGGCAATGGAAAAATAGTCAATAGTCAATAAACATTAATTAAGGGCCTACTATGTGCCAGGCACTGTGTTAAGCACTGGGGATTCAAATAAAGAGACAGTTCTTGCCCTCAAAGAGCTTACAATCTAATCAGGAAAGACAGTACACAAAGGAAACTTCAAAGGTGGAGGGAGCAGAGGAAAAAACACACAGTGGGTATAATTAAACTACACTATATGAATATAAAAGAGGGGAGTAGAGCACACAGTGAATATAGGAACCAGGGAAAGCTCATTGGAAGAAGTACTGACCTGAGCCTTGAAGGATGAGTTACTAGGAAAAGAAGAAAGGAAGAGGGAGTGTATTCCAGGCATGGGGGGGTGGTGGTCTAGATGAATGCATAGAGGTGGGAGAAAGTATGTCAGTTTTGGGTACAACTAGTAGTAAAAAAGAACCTAGGATGTGTGAAGGAGAATAAGAGAAATGACCTGTTCTAGACTTATCTAGAAAGGTAATAAGAGTAAAAAAGAGGGGACTTTGTAGAGCATCAAATCCAACCTATTCGTTTGGAGTTTAATTTTGAAGATAAAGCTGAATGAGGAGTCAGGTGACCTGAGATCTAATCACAGCTCTGCTGTGACCTTGGTGGATGCGTTATTCCACTCCTGGACCTCCGTGTCAGCTGTAAAATGAAGATGCTGGGTTAGATTATCTCCAGGTTCTAAAATTCTGTATTCTGTATTCTAATGTCTCTTAAAGCTTGGGCATTCTGTGATTCCATAGTAAAGACCCATGTCTTTTATCTCCTTTGATCATTCCCACAGTACTCAATGCATAGATCTGCATTCAATGGGCGCTCACACTGTAATGAGACATGACTTTGCAGAGTCACTTGCACTCTGCAGGTAGCCATTACACTGTCTTAACTAAGAGCATCCTAGAGCTATATTCTTGGTGCTGGGGTGGGGGGGGCGGGGAGGAGGTGGTAAGGAGGAGGCAAATCCCCTCTTCCTTACATATTGATGAAGAAACTGAGGGCCAGAGCGATTGTGATTTGCCCAAGGTCACACAGCAAGTAGCAGAGCTGCAGATCCCTGTATAAATGGTGTATTCTGGTTGTCTGTGTTTGTTTTAATTTCCTACTAGATTGGGAGCTCCAGGGGGCAAGAGGCAGGTTGATTTAAGCTTTTTATCTCCTACCACACTCTGAGCTCAGATAACTGTAGGTGCTTAATAAATCACAGGATTTCCAAATCGAAGGGAGTTGTTGTTCAGTCTTTTTTAGTCATGTTGGACTTTTCATGACCCCATTTGGGGTTTTCTTGGCAAAGATACTGGAGTGGTTTGCCATTTCCTTCTTCAGCTCATTTCACAGGTGAGGAAACTGAGGCAAACAGGGTTAAGTGACTTGGCCAGGGTCACACAGCTGGTAAATGTCTGAGGCCATATTTGGGCTCAGGAAGATGTCTTCCTGACTCCAGTCCCGACACTCTATCCACTGCACCACCTAGCTGCCCTCTGAGAGAAGTTTTTGAAACCATTTAATTCAAGCCATATCTAGGAAAGAATACCTCCAATGCTATCCCCAACAGTGTCCATCTAACATCTACTTTAAAACCACTATTGACCTGGAACCCGGTTAGATCTTTCTAGTCAGCTGGGTGGCACAGTGGATAGAGTGCTGGACTTGGGAGACAGGAAGATTTTTCTAATTTGGCCTCAGGACACTTACTAGTTGTGAAACTCTAGTCATGCAACTTAATTGCTTCATGCCTCAGTTCCCTCATTTGTAAAATGGGGATATTAATAGCATCCACCTCACAAGGTTGTTTTGAGGATCAAATGAAATAATATTTGCAAAGTGCTTTGCAAACTTTAAAGCACTATGGAAATGCTAGCTATATAGCTCAGCATTTTTCCTTACACAAAAGTCTAACGTTAGGAGAGATCTTTGCAATTTTACCCATTTCTGGCTAGTTTTACCTTCTAAGACCAAGAAGAAAATGTCTGATAGCTCTCTGCAGGTATTTGAAAGACTAATGAAGCCTCCCTTGTGTCTTCCTTATCTTCTGGCTAACCATCTGCAGTTCCTTCAATCATGCCTCATATGGCATGAATTCCAGTCCCTTCACCATCCTGGTTTACCCACCTCTGGACTTTTTCTGGCTTGTCAATGGCTTTACAGAATGGGTCACTTACCTCCAGCCATATGGTCTGACCAAGGCTGGGTGCAGAACAACACCCCATACAGGGCTCGGGGGAGCAGTTAGCTTTTGTTTGGTTGCCATATCACATTGTTGTTGACTGACTTATTTTGAGCCTGCAGTCCACTGAAAACCCCTAGCTCTTCTGCACATTAACGGTGAAGCCTCCCTAATCCTGTGTTTTTGAAATAGATTGGGGGAAAAAATCCAAACACCAATGGAGAACTATATTTATCCGTATTAAATTTCATCCTATTCCATTTGATCCATCTTTTAGCATGTTGATTCCATCCTCCATTGTTGGGAGTTTTTTCCCATTTTCGATTTGACAAACGTGCTCTCTGTGCATTCACCTAAGTCAGGGATGTGATGTTGAACAGCCAGAGACTAGGGATGGATCTTTTGGGCACTTCGCTAGAGACTTCCCTGAAAGTAGTCATCAACTACTCTATGCATCGCGTCATTTAACTAGTCTTGGATCCAACTGTCCCAAACGTACGTCTTTCACTTTATGGTGTCTATCCTTCCCTTCCTTCTAATCACACCTGCCTGGACTCCGTCCATTGCAGCTCCTCCCTTCCAGGGCTCAATTTCCCCTACTACATCCCTGGCTGGTTGGAGGTCCGATCCTGCTGAATTGAATCGGGGGTGGAGCATCACAGCTGTGAAAGGAAGGCAGAGGGGGAAGGCGGAGAGCGAGGAGCCGCGGAGGAGGGGAAAAGCAGCCGCCTCAGTTAGAATGGATGTGGCTTTGTAAAGGCTTGGGAGAAGCCATGCTGGGGGTCGCGGGAAGAGACTGGCTTTGCTTTCTCTTCTTTTCACTGCCTGTCCTAGGGCTGCTGGCGGCTCAGGATCCGAGATGGAGAAGTAAGTGTGTGTGTGTGTGTGTGTGTGTGTGTGTGTGTGTGTGTGTGTGTGTATGCATGCAGTGGGGCTGGGGCTTTGGAAGAAGGGGCTGGAGCGCTGTTTAGGGGGGAACTTGGAGAGATCCCTTTATTTCCCGAAATATGGGCAGAAGTGCATGGGACTGGGTGGTGGCTTGGAGCAAGAACGGAAAATAACATCATTCTCCTCTCTGATTGGGAACTTTTCTCGGGATGCCGTAGCTCGTCCTGTACGGGTGGCTCCTCTGCTAGACTACCGGCTGGGCACGGCTCGGCTTTGTTCGGTTTGCCCGCTTGGGAGGCTGCCTCTCCTGCAGAGGCACTGGACCGGGAACAGGACACATAAACGGGTTGCCGCCGGCCCAGCGCATCCATATCCTCGCTTACCCTGGATTCTGTGAGGGAGGCTGATCCCTGGCTTCTCGAGCTTGGTCCCGGGGGCATCCTCAGCGCCCGGCACAGTGTTAGACGCACAGCAGGCTCTGAGGCAGTCCTGGCACACTGTGCTTCCCTCGAGATCTCTTTGGGGACGAGCTATCTCCACTCTCCACCACTAACATCGCCCTGGATACGCCCAATCCTTCAATCCGCTCCTGAAATAAAATCACGCTTTAAGAAGGTTCCTCTCAGCTCTCTCATTCTGTGACCTAGGGTTCTTTATAGTTCTAACATTCTCTGTTCCAGGGTTCTTTTAAACTCTGTCATTGTGCGTTCTAAGATCTCTTCTAGCACTAAAAGACATTCTGTGCTTTAAGATTCCTTCGAGCTCTGACATTCTGTGTTTTAAAGTCCCTTTTCGTCCCAATATTCTGTGGTCTAAGGTCCTTTCCAGCTCTGTCATTCTGTGTTCTGTGGTTCTGGGTGGGTAGCTCATTGCACTCATTCATTATAACCTTAAGAAATTACAGCCCCTCCCCGAGATTGGAAGGCTTGGCTGGCTTATCCGATTTAAGATAATTGATAAGCTCCAAATCTTTTTTCCGGAGAAGGGGTTGATGGGTGCAGGAACCTAAATCTTAAAAGGGGGGCTGAGTTGATCTGAGCTGGGAAGTCCACTAGAGAAGCTTTTGATGGGAGCAGTCGAATCCGATTTCGTGTTTACGGAGTGAGCACAGTCCTGGAAACTGAACAGAGCATTCCAGGCGGGAGTTGTGCCCTGGAGTAGCTGACAAATATAGAGTTGACAGACATAGGTCCTCAGCCTTTTGAATTTTGTCTCTACTCCCTCTCCTTATCTGCCATCCTTCCCCGACACATACACTTTTCCATCCCGGAATGTCTGAGATAACAGCGTAATTTTTTTTGGGTGGGGGGTGAGGATATGCCCTAGGAAGAATGGAAGCATATTCCTCATCTTTTTTTTTTCTTTTTGGTGAGGCAGTCGGAGTTAAGTGACTTGCCCAGTGTCACACAGCTAGTAAATGTCAAGTATCGAGGTCGAGTTTGAACTCAGGTCCTCCCGACTCCAAGGCTAGAGGCCACCTGGCTGCCCCCCATATTCCTCATCCTGCAGAAGTTGGGTGGCCTTCCTGGAAATCATGGGGTGGGGGAGGATAAAAATTTTACTGACTGAGTAGAAAACTATCCTTGCCTTCCCGATTGTGAATTAGAATTAACTGAACTATGCTCGGAGAAGGAAAAACCCTTCACCTCCTTTAATGACCACTAAGTGAAGGCTGTCTGGGGTCCATAACTCTTTAAGAGGATGTCTTTATAATGAGCAGTCCGTTCAATTCAGTAAGTATTTCCTGTCAGGATAATGTATAGGAAATATGTGAGGAAAGCAAGGCACAATCCCTACTCTTTTGTAACATACAATTTAATTGATGAGTCAGCAAGACTCAGGTTCATAGAACAATAAAAGGTAGTGTTTGTGTGTAAGAAGGTAGCACCTCCAGTAAAAGAATGTAAGCTCCTTGAGGGCACAGACTGCTTCATTTTTGTCTTGACACTTAGCTCAGTCCTTTTATGTACAGTAGGTACTGAAGCCTCAGAAGTCATCTGATTTTACAAATGATCAAACTCAGGCAAAGAGGTTTAGTGACCTAAGGTCACACACAGGTGAGTAAAAAACAGAACAGGGACTTGAGCAGGTATTTTGTGTGGTCCCCTCTTCCTCCCCCATCCCCCATAGTGTTCTGTGCTGATTCCTCCTCATCTTGGCCTAGATGCTATGACAACAGAACACCGGATCTGGAGGGATTTAACTGAGCTGAAAACAATGCCAAAATGGGCCCAAGGATTCAATTGAATTTAATTGAAGAGATGGGTCTGGTCAGAATTGAAAGTACTTGTCCAGTTCAGAAGAGTAGTACTGTAAGACAGGACTTCTTAAACTTTTTCCACTTGCCTGAGAAATTTTTACACAACCATGGGCATATAGGTATATAAAATAGGTATACAAATCAAACATTTACTGATAATAAATCATAAAGAAATTTATTTTAAAACAATTCTTTGGTATACATATAATTTTACCATTTATTAAAGATGAAAACAAATTTGCATATTAATGAGATGGATGGGCTTGTTTATTTTTACATAAAGAATTAAATCTTGGTGAAATATTTGATGCTGCAGGATGTAGAGCATCTTCAATGTTTTTAAGAGTTGATTGATGTTTTGATTTTATAGTTGTCGATGCTGAGAACACCGTTTAGGGCCATTTCAGAAATTCTTGGAAATTCTTCCCTAATCCCAAGCCAAAATTCATTAATGATTTTGTATGTACAGTAAAAACACTGCAATTCATGACATAGAATAATCTCAAATCTAAGCTGAGGTGTTTCTAGCAGCATTTGTTGGGATTGTGAGCCATGACAGCACGCGCAGTGCAAGGTGTGCACGCTGTGTGTTCAGAACGAAGGCTGCAGTGACGTTATGCGATGCAACACAGGCGAGCTCTGCCAGAAGCACCTCGGGTTCATTACGCATTTGATTTTGAATTAATTTTTGGTCAATGAGGAGTTCAGAACCTTTTACTGTTGCCAAGTTTTTTGCAACCCCCACTGTCAGCTGTGCAACCCCATGGAGGGGAAGGGCTGCCCTAAGGGACTTTGAAGGACAGCCTGAGGGCTAAACCGCACCTTTTCCTTCATCCTGGACTTACAGGGGTGTATGCTGCTACACAAGGTACTTTGAAACTATACTGTCCACACAGGTGGAAGCATTACCCTCATTAAGTCACTGTCTTTATTGATGATGATTGTTATAAGGCCTGCCTGCGATTTTAAAGACTAGTTCAGGCCCAACTAGGTTCGAAATCTCCTTTAGCTTCTGCCCCTCAATAGTTTATGTTCTTTTACAAAGAATAATTTGGTTTATAAAGAATAACGAGGTTTCGATAAGTGAAATGAAAATATTTACCGTGGTTGTCACAGAATCACAAATTTGGACCTAGAAGGGAACTTGGCTGTCATCTTGGGGGGTCTCATTAGTAGTAGTAAATGACAAGAGTTGGGATTCGAACCCAGGTCCTCCCATTGTGGCATTCTGCCTTGACCTGCTGTGGAGGCCCAGCCTTTCATTGGTGTTTGTACCTTTTTTTTTCTGCAGGAGGAGAAAGTGAAGCAAATCCCTTGTCACAGCATGAATTGATAATACCTCAGTGGAGAACAGAGGGCCCAGATGGAGAGAAGGTAAGACTCAGAGGCTCTTCCTAGAGTTGCTAGCATTGTATGAGTTTATTGAAATTAGTATCTTAATGTATTTTCTTTTTAATGGAATGGCCTCTGTTTATTGGATAATTATGTAGGCAAGTTGAAGAAACTTGGTTTTATTTACCAAATGGGCAATCAGAAGAAATTAGCACACAACCACAATGTTCTTCTCTAAGCAATCCTATTTCCTCTTTCCTGGGTTGTTGATCCCACCTCTCAGCTCACTGAGGAATGCTAGTGCCCCCTGTTGTCAGATTTTGCCTACTAACATCTGGGGATCGGCCCCAGTTCTAGCATTGCTTTCTTTTTAATGGTTAAGGGGCTCAGAACCATGTGATCCTGGTGCCCAGTCCCTTTATTTTACAGATAAGAAAACTGAGGCCCAGAAAAGTTTAAGTGACTTATCAAGAACTGGGACTTGAACCCAAGTTTTCTGACCTCAAATATAGAACTCTTTCCATTATGTACCATAGTATGAAACCAGATTTGGAAAGAGGCACAACAGCTGTTTAATAATGCCCAGAAATAATGCCCTGAGCAGTGGTGGATTTTGGGTGGTTTTAGCTACGTGGCAATCATGAATATGAAAATAAGGAGAGAGGGGCGTTAAGAGCTTGTTGTGCTTTTGCTCTTCTTGAAGGGGATCCTGAGGTCCTTCAGGTCAGAATGTGAAGCTAGAAGGATCTTCGAGATCCTCTGCAGCGTTGGGTGTGAAGATAAACTTCAAGGCCGGGCTCAGATCCCAGCTCTGCTTTTTAGTACCCAAGTGACTTGGCGCAAGTTGCTTCACTTTGTTGGCCTCAGTTTACTTTTCTGTAAAAGGAAGTGGTTGGACTAGGAAATACTAATAATTCTTAGCATTTGTCTATTTCGTGATACCAAGTGTCATGGGTTACTGATCTTCTGTGGACAGCAATGCAGCATGGGTATTGCCTAGGGGATACAAATACCTTCTCTGGGCTTTGCTCCATTGGTATAATTTTCTGTCTTTGGAGAGCTCTGGACTGTTACTCTTGCCCTAGTCAGGAGTTTGTCTTACTTCACTTTCTGAGGCAGTGAGGTCTTACATGACTTAAATGAACAGTTAGGTTTGATTGGTTTTTTATTTTTGTTTTTAGTTAACAAGCATTTATTTTCTCTCCCTCCCATCCTCCACTCTTAGGCACACTGTAAATGCTTAAAAACTCCTTCCTTCTTTCCTTCTTCCCTTCCTTTCCTTTCTTTCTTTCCTTCATTTCCTTTCCTTCCTTCCATCTTTTCTTTCTCCTTTCCTTCTTATTTCCTTATTTCATGGGAAAATGAAAAAAGAAAAACAAACTCTTGTAGCAAATATGCACACTAAAACAAAGCAAATCCCCACGTTGGCTCTGTCCAGTGCTGTGTGTCTCTTTCTGTATCTTGAGTATAGCTCTTTGTCAGGAGGTATGTATCATGCATCACCACTGGTCCCCTGGTATAGTGGCTGGTCATTGTGTTGATCAGAGTTCTGTTTAAGGTTGGTTGCCTTCACCGTGTTGTTGCCATTGTATAAATTGTTCTCCTGGTTCTGCTCATTTCACTGTGCATCAGCTACTACAGGTCCCCCAAAGACCTGGGTTAGAATCCTTCCTCAGATATGTACTAACTGTGGGACCCTGCACATTTGACTTAACTTTCCTGTCTATGAAATGAGGTATTTGGACTGGAGGAAAGCCCTTTCTAGCTTTAAAACTGTGATTCTTTGATCTGATTCTTACCTGGTTCAATGACCAGGCCAGTGTTTGCTGAGATCTTGTCACTGTCATGCTTTCATCCTCCCTCTCCCTCCCCCCACCACTTTGGGGTCAAAGTTTACTACCTCATTCCTTTGAAGCTGCCATATACTACTCACCCCCTTCCCCTACCCCATATTGAGTCTAAATCCTGGACCTGTTTCTTCCTACCTTGAACCCGATCCTGGGTAAGTCACTCCCCTTCTCTGGGCGTTAGTCTCCTCGTGTTCAATGGAGGGCTTAGACATGACATCTAACATCCCATCTGGCTCTAAATCCCCTGATCCTGTCTGTGTTTTTTCATTGGGGTTTTCTGGACCCAACAACTCCTGAGATGTGGGTATGTTTGTGTGTGGGGTTATCTAGACCTGTGACCTCACTGACTTATGGAACTCCTAGAATAGAAACTATACCCAACAGTGCAGATCAGTCTAGGGCACTCAGAGGTTAGGAGACTATGGTTACATAGCCATCATGTGTCAGAAAAACCCTTTGACACCAAAGATCTTGCTTCATTCACTATACCACTATCATCTCCCTATAGGTATTGCCTATGTTTTACAGATAAGTAAACTGAAACTCACAGAGGTTCAGTGACTTATCTGTGGTCATACAAGTAATGTAAGGTAAGATTCAAATCCAGATCCTGAGTTCTCAAAAACAATACATGTAAGATACAAGATCAGTTAATCTAATCTCTATCATGTCAGAAGACTTTGAATAGACATTCTAGTAGAAGACTATCTCTGCTTAGGGTCAGCCTAAGTATAGAGAGGCGCATCACCAATACACTAACGTCTATGAGGCGTAGATGTGATGTGAATTATATTAGAACATATGTCCCAGGAGTCAGAGACCAGAGACAGCAAAGGTTTGTGATTACACTGAAAAACAACATACCTTGTTGTTCAATTGCGTCTGATTCTTTGTGACCCCCTCTGGGGTTTTCTTAGCAAAATGCTGGAGTGGTTTGTCATTTCCTTCTCCAGTTCATTTTATAGATGAGGAAACTGAGGCAAACAGGGTTAAGTGACTTGCCCAGGGTCACACAGCTAGTGTCTGCAGCCAGATTTGAACTCAGGAAGATGAGTCTTCCTGACTCCAGACCCAGCCCTCTCTCCACTGTGCTATCTAGCTGTCCCCCTGAAGCCTCATACCTTCATACAATAACTACTTCCTCTGAAACATGCTGGATATAATGAACACCAAATTGTGTAATAAAAAATGAAATTGATTACTTTTTAATAGACAGGAAATTACTATCTTATTAATATGGAAGGCATTTCTGAATTAGCTGCCTGCTATACATTCAGATCACCAACATACTAAAGCAAAGATCGAAATCAACACCAAAGTGGGAGAAAGATTAAAAACAAGAAAGTCTCCTAGCTGTGGCGACTCCAGCTTGACTTGTTTAAATAAGCTTATGGTGCCCCCAAATAGGAAATGGATAAAGCAACAACCGTTGACACAAATGATCACAGTTTCCTGGAAATTTAACTGATGTAAATCAGCTGTCAGGACAAGAAGAACAAAAGACATCAGACCCTGCTACAGCCATCGAACACTCATGCCCCTCAACAAACTGAAAGAGAAGGCAGAGTACTATAGTGGAAAGAGCCTCTGTCCAATAAGGGGGTTGACTTCTGAGGTCCCTTTTAGCTCTAGGCCTGGGAGGCAAAAAAATCTATGGGCAGCTGACAGAAATACTTGTTTAGAAGATAAACTTGTTTGTAAAATCTTATGGAGGGCAAGAATATGAGTAGGATCATCACATAAAGTAGTGTAGAAGAGAGTGAATCTATGGAAAGCTTGGTTAGAGAATCAAGTAAGCAAAATTATCCCAAGGGTGTGAAGGATGAAATTAAAAGAAGGCTGATGAAACAGAGAGAGAATGGGAAAAAAAGTCCATCAACATTTTTATACCAAACTCTTTTCACAACAAATAAAGCATTTATTGAACTTCATTATGTGTCAGGTGCCATGCTAGGTGTTACATATACAAATACCAATTGTTCACAGATAAGTAAATATAGCGTATATTGGGGCAGTCAGTTGAAGGAGGTGACATCTGACCTGGACCCTGAAAGAAGCTAGGATTCCAAGAGGTGGAGATGAGGAGGGAGAGCTTCCCATATGTCAGGGACAGCCTGTACAAAGGCACTGAGTCAGGAGAGGGAATTTTGTGTATAGTAAATAGCTGATTTGGCTGGAGCATAAGAGTACATGAAGTAGAGTAACGTGTAATCATCCTGAAGAGAGAGGCTGGAGCCAGATTGTGAAGGGCCTTAAATGTCCAATAGAGGTGTTTGAAAGTTATCCTAGAGGTAAGAAGGAGCTATCAGAGCTGCTTGAGGAGGAGAGTGGTGGGGTCCAGTGATGCTTCAGAAATATTTCTGTCAGTTATGTGGAGAATGAATTGGAGATGGTAGAGTGGAGGCATTTATTAGGAAACTATTGCAGGTAGTTCAGGCAAGAGGTAGTGAGGTCATGGACTAAGATGGCTTGTGGTTGTGAACAGCAAGAAGGGGGCAGATGTGAGAGGCTTTGAGGAGGTGGAGCCAAGAAGACTTGGTGAGCCTTTGGCTACAAGGAGTGAAAGGGAATAATCAGGGATGACTCCTAGGTGGCAAACCTAGGTGACTGGAAGAGTGCTGGGGGCCTCAGTGGAAATAGGGAAATCAAAAGCAGGAGTGGGCTTGGTGAGAAAGAGAACTAGTTCTGCTTTGGACATGTTGAGTTTGAGATGCCTATGGGAAATACAGGTGGATGTGTCTGGCAGACTCTTGAAGATGTGGGAATTGGAGTTCAGAAGAGAGAGATGAACATCTACTTGGAAATCCATTACACAGAGATGATAATTAAACATATGGTGCTAAATGAGATCACCAATAAAGAGACACTATAAAGAGAGAGAGGAGAGGGTCCGGGAAAAGGCCCTGGGGTACACCCACAGAAAGGGCATGGAACACGAAGGAGGATCCTGCAAAGGAGACTGAGGATTGAGAAGTAGAGTTAGAGTAGTCACAAAAACTCAGGGAGGAGAGAGTACTCAGAGGGTAGGGGTGGACATCAGTGGCTGGCACTTCAGGGAGGCGAAGAAGGATGGGGACTAATAAAAAGACCATTGGATTTGGAAATAAGGGGTCAGTGGTGACCTTACAGAGAGTGTTTTCTGTAGAGCAGTGAAGATGGAAACTAGATTGCGTCAGTAAAAGTGCAGTCACC